CTGCAAGATATACTGTAAATCCTAAAATGATGAGGAATGATCTACTTGGCAACAGTGGAGACTGATACAGACCTGCTCACCATCCTGAGAAATGGGCTGCAGCTCACTTAATCATTTTAGGGGGAGAAAGATGAAGAAGGAAAAAAGTCCAAGAGGCTCTTCAGCTGAAAGGGTGGCACGCAAATCTTTAGAGGTGTTTCAGAAAGGCCAAAACCCAAAATGAAAACAGCAGGATGTAAAGATCAAGAGGGCAAGAGTGACTGAAGGAACAGTTTCCTGAACACCTGGCGGAATTAGAATTGACAAGGTCAGCATTTCCCAGGGGTCGTGTCCTGATGGCTTCTATGGGAAGATTGTAACAGGACATAGTAGCCAAAAGGGCCACACAGGCTGTATGACCACTGCAATTACGACTAAGGATAAAACAAATGGCTTGAAACTGAAAGCACACTTCTGAAAATTGTGATCTTTACTGTATGATATCTTGATCTGCTAGATGAAAACATCATTAAATTACCTCAGAAGAGGAAGCTACATTATATGGTAATTGAACGTCCTCTGATAGTTGACATTTCACCACTTTGCAAAGTTGTGTAATAGGCCAAGTCTACAGCACAGGAGTACAGTATGAATTGTACTCCTGTCTACAGCACAGGAGTACAGTATGAATGAACACATTAATATTTTAAATGTCTGAAGGATATACAGGCCAAAGACAGGTATTAGAGCAAGGCCAAAAAACAATCATATTCTTAGTATGAATGACCTTTGTTTAAAAGACAAGTCATAGAAGTTAGGTCATAGACAACAGTTAGCCAATTGTTCTCAACCTTTGAAAAAAGAACATGTTTTGCACATTTTGAAAAAAAGTTTTTTGTTGTTTTTTTTAGTTTAGGATATACTGGTGACTTGACTTGAAGTTTTTGACCACCTCAGTAGCTGTTTCGGACATAAATGAAATGGGCAGCACGGGAGCTATCAAAAATGAATACAATCCTCTCATTAGCGGCAACGAGACTTCTATGACCCATTTCCCAATCAAGTCCTGTGGTGAGTCAGTGCCCTCCAACCCCAACCTCAACACTGATGGGATTTGACCAGTAGCTACACTGATGATAGTAATGACATTATTTCCACAGATTTTGTTGTGTGATGGTGATTTTCAATTTAGAAGAGCCTTAATGTGCAAATATATAAATATTTATCCTTATTATGATTTAGGTTGCGGTTTCTTGTATTTTCTTTTTTTATTATTACATTAAATGTAATCTACCGCTCTTACTGTTCTACGACTGTGACAACACAGACATTTTTTTGATAACACTGTATATTAAAAGTTCTCAAGGGATTCAAATAAATAACAATTGTACAACCCACTTAGTTCAACATTAAATGTGGTTTTAAAGGGGTTATTAGTATAGTGTGAAAACTAACAGATGTGAAGCAGTCCTCCCGTTTGAGTGACCGCTGTTTATCAGCTCTCAGCTCCCACGTCTTGTTCTGTCCCAACAGTCTGTGTTCATACTGCTGTTTGACATTGCAAGCAGCAGGCTTTCTTCTCCCAGCAGCCTCAGTGGACACTGTTGTTTAGACTAATTGGTTTCAGAGAGGACCCTGACAGAACTCTCCTCAGCATCAGCCATATTAATGCCCCGTCCCCCATCTCCCAGCCCACACACATGGACACACGAGCACACAAACACACACCAAAGAGCACAGCAATTAAACCCCTAGTACACTAATTAATGCCTTTACAGGCCTCTCATTAGCATTTGTTGTTGAGATGAGCAGTAGGACAAGTAAGCATTTTGGATAATTTTAAGGGAGGAAACTAAAAGCATGGTTTTACTCTGGGGCCAAAGGGCCTTGCATGGCCCACACAAAGCACTGGACTACATCCCAAGGGAGTCCATTACAGTCCTCGGAGGAAGACGTTGGTTTTGAAGATAAGCAGAATTTTAAAGGCAATAAATCCCTGGCACACAGGCAGCTCTTTGGTTGTTAACCAGCAACTTAACCTGCCTTTACTGTGAACAGAATAGGAGATAGATTGGTACGAATGTGTGGCACAATGATGTGCAGTTAAAGAATAGGGCAAAGGCCAACAACTCAACTCAGCCATTTCTGTTGCTATACAGAAAACTACAAGGTAAATTCTTTAAACAGATCTATTTAGTTATTTTTATGAGTACCTTGTGTGTCATTACAACACACTCACTACATCTTTATTTATCTTTCCGCCTCCTTCTGCTTTCCTTCCATCTCTCCTTTCACCCATCTGCTGCGTAATCCCCTACTGCTTTTACTGTGGCTTCATCGCAGCCCGTAAAAAAACCCCAGCATCCTTTGAACTCAACAAAAGAAACCAACATCATGTTTATTATCAAACACAATCATAAGGTAAAAGTTTATCCCCTCCCTGCCACTAAACTCCCATAATGAGTCTGCTGGAAGGGTTTCACCTTGTAGCTCCGTGTAGAGGCAAGAAAACAACACATTCTGGTCAGATTAGGCTGTGAGCTGAGAGGCAGCTAATGCCCCATTATCAAAACAGTCTGAAACAAAAGCATTCTTAAAATACAATAGTATGATTCAAAGTCAGAAAACACAATGGTTATGAAACATTCATTATGAGAAGTTTAGAACTTCGCACAGTTCAAGAGCTAAAAAGAGGATCAAAGTTAGGCAAAGTACAGTCAAAAAATCAAATGGCCAAAAATTTAAAGCATTTCAGTAGGTTGATTTGGTCAATATGACCATCATGTGAATTTCAAATAAATGATCAAAATGAAAATGTAAAAGGAGGTAAGAGGCTATTGTATGTGCCAAAAGTGTGTAACAATCAAGTAGCTCTTCATGTACTCAGTACCCTTGAAGTAGCTCTCGGTTTCTAAAAGGTTTGTGACCCCTGGTTTAAATGAATAACCATTAAAACCTGAAATTAATAGATTACATCAATGGTTTAGGAAGTCTGTGACCTAAAGCCAACTGGTGGCCAATTGGTGAAAGCAACAGCTTGAACAAGGACCTATTACATCCATAGTGTTTAAAGACCATTTCTCAAACCAAGAAGCAACATGGTCTCTACTATTAAAAAATACATTTAATCGCCAAATCAGTTTTAGGAAAAGTACAAGAGACATATTATTTCAATTTTTCCACCTTTGCACTTGGGGCGTTCCTAGCAGACCTGAGAATATACCCAGACTTTGTTCTTCACAGAAGCTGGTAGCCATTCTGACCTTCCCATTATCAGTCTGTGACCTCTTTATTATACCAACCGTCAGTACACGGTGCTGTGCTGAACCTGACCACCCTGCACTGCGGACGAGCCATCATTCTCTCCTCTGAACAGCCTTGCTGGCCCACACAGCCAGAGACATGCAGACACTTAAAGAAATTGTGAGTTCAGAGTAATAGTACGCAGGTAATTTGAGGTCATAGGTCCTGTGCAATCGGAACAGCAGTTCCGTACCTGGCAGCCGGAGCGGAACTCTGAGAGGGACCTGGAAGTAGATATGATGACCTTTTGTCCAGAGGACCCCAAAATATACTCTCTTATCAAAATGACCTTAACGTAGGTGCATGGGAAGGCGAGCAGAGCCCATCCATCACCTCGAAGATTAATCCTCCCCTCTATTCTTTCCCTGAATCTATTAATAATGTCACCAGAGTGGAAAATTTGCAGGAAAGATTTATTCTGATATTGGGACATTTATTCATTAACCTATAAAAGGGGGATTCCATGAGAAGGAAATATGTAGTGAGCTTAGGGAATGCAAATTCATTACTTGTGCTCCACTTGAACTATCCACTACTGCATCAACTCAGCTTCTTTTAGATTTGCTGACATTCTACCCACTAAACCCTGGTGTACACTACAAACAGGAAGGACTAGAATTTCTTTAAAACCATCTCACTCTACCAACTTGGTTCAATTTATTATCAATATTATCAATAAGATTAATAATGTTTTAGTTGTAGTTGAATTTTGAGAGTCCGTGGCTCATTGGCTCCAAACACAAAGAAAAGCCATGGGTAACAGGAGGGATGCCACCTTAACGGCCACCATCTTTGTTTATAGTGTTTGCAGATCAAATGTCATTACACTTTTGTTCAAATGGCATTTCATATAAAAGTGTGCAAAGGGACTTTTAAACAAATTTATTATATGATTATAGGACAAAAAAATGTAATCAAACACAACCACCAACTGAATATTTTTTTCATTGCTCATCACTTGTCTTGATATTATTTGGCTACTGGTGTCAAACACTAACAGCACATTTATGCACAGCCAGTGAATGCATGATCTCTTGTAATTTTCATTAAATTACAATTAAATACACAGATTTATTTCTATGGAATATATTAAGAGATCTGCACAGTTTTGTTTTTTTTCTCGAGTAGTGCAGCACCGACAGCCCCAGAGGAACACTTCAATTAGAGAACAGACTGAGTTGAAACACAGCAGATCAACTCTGGCTCGAAGGCGTTTGTCTCTCTCTCTCTCTCCCTCTCCCTCTCTCTCTCTCTGCCTCCCTCTCTCACCATATCCATCAAAAGTGCTCCATCACACCCTTTCCTCTTCAAGTCTCGCTCACTGTAATCAACCCAGTGCTAATGGCTTATTCTTTCTGCTCCAGCACACACATTTCACTTGTTTATTTTCCCACACTCGTAAATCTAGAAACATGTCACAAGTGCAGTGATATTAGAGAAATAATCTCAGGTAATTATCGAGTGCCCCCTCTCACTTTGCATTTCTCAATCTCACTCACTCACTTTTTCTTTTAACCCAAGAGCAGACAGCCAGGAATTCATGTGTATTTGTATTAAGCTTCAAAAAGGGATCTTCAATTGAGGATTTTTTTTAAATGTAATAAACAAAAACCAGCAACGTCCACTTCCGCACCATGTGTTTCTGTCACCTCCAAATGCGAATACAATTTCTATCCTTTTTTTTTTTAATCATCAAACTGATTCTGCTGGTCACTTACCCATTCCTGTTGGATGAGGCTCACAGCCTTACTGACCCGGGACAGATTTCGGGATGCAAGGATCACATGAGCACCGTGAAGAGCAAAAGATCTCGCTGTTTCAAAACCTGTGGCAAAAAAAAAAAAAAAGATCAAGAAACTGCTAAATGATAGTAGCTTGAAACGTCATCCTCTCGTCAAAAAAAGAAATCTCTCTGATCTGACCATCTCTTAACCAGGTGATTCTTTTGGGTACTACAGAAAAGGGCAGTCAGTTGTTAATTATGTTGGTAATTACACTGGGATGACAGTAATTATGAAAACCCGGCTGATAATAGTGGGTGTCAAATGAAGAATCGAACACACATGACATTCAGACAAAACTCTGGCGTGATATTTTAAAACATCAAAGTGCCTCTGATAAGGACATTTCTCCCACAAAACGAAGTCTGCGGATACGCGCAGAATTTATCAGTCCGCGACTTCCTCTCAGCTCCATGTAGACGCGATAAAACTGACAAAAACCTAAGATAGACGGAGAGAGTTCATTTCTAAATTACAAGTCTAAATGGGTCATTTCAACCCGTAGGTTGAATTAATTTATGAGATTTAATTTTTTCCTTCACCGTATTTTTATTTCCTTTGACATTTACTATCCTTCAAAGTGTCGCAGAAAAGTTTAATGGTGTCGAGCGGTTTCCCATGTTTCACTTTTACAGTAAATACGCAGTGTGGCCAGACACAATCAATTCAAGTTTTTGACTGACAGACTGAACAGGGACAATCACTGATTACGACAAATAGGGGGGTCTTTGAAGCGACTGTATCACAGGACGGATTAATAAGCAGTGTAATTAATCTGATTTTCTTTAAGAGCAATACTGGGAACCTAATTGGGAGGTGAGTGTTGAGGACTAATATCTATTAAAACTCAAAATTGCAGCAGGATTGGAAGCCCTGTCTGACAAGTGAAGCATGGAATTAAATTATATGACACCTTATTAGGTGTAGCGGAGGGGACTGTGGCCGTGAGCGAGATCATTTCACTCAGAGTAAATGAAAATGAAAATGAAAATAATAACAACATGACATGAAAAAATAAGCAGTGTGACTCCCAGAGTAAATATTTTGTTAAAAATGTGGATAGGTTCAAAAAATAAAAATCATGAAATTCTAATACTTCAGGTGCATTTTTTAATAGTAAAAGCAGAAGATAAAAAAAAAAATCTTCCTCCTAACTATGATGAAGGTTTTGAAAACAGCGGATGAACTTGCCAGTCATAAAGACGTCATTCCAAGGCTTAATAAACTGCTTGGTGATGGTAAACAACTGCTTTTCGCTTGTTGTGTGTACAAACCATGAAAGTGGAATTAATCAACACTTGTGTTTTCCATAATGGAGAACAAATTATAATATGGCAGCTCAACAGCAGCAGCAGCAGCAGAGCCGTGTATTTCCATTGAAAAATAACAAGGGCTTGACATTAATTGTGAAATAACGAGAGCGCCGTTGCTGTAACGGCGCCTCCTCACCCTTTTCATGCATGTTGGCAGTCGAGAGGACCTCTGTGAAATTACATCCTGGTCAGGTGTATAACAAAGAGGGCCTGTTTTGGCATTGTATGCCGATGGTGGAACATGACAAGAGGTCGGAGGGATCGTTCTGCTACTCTGGTGGAACAACAGGCGCCACACGCTGTTGTACAACAAACAGATCTAAAGCCTAGATCAGGGGTGTCAAACATACGGCCCATGGGCCAAAACCGGACGATTTAGGGGGTTCAATCCGGCCCCTAATATACTTGTGCTTATTTGCAGGAAAACAAAGGGGGAAAACATGGACTTATTATTATTTATAGGTAATTACGTAAAATTGCACTGGTCCGGCCTACTTGGCATCTATTTAGGCAGCATGTGGCCCTGTACCAAAATGAGTTTGACACCCCTGGCCTAGATCATACACTATGCTGTTCTGATCAGAACCAGCATTATTCTTACTGTTTGACCATGAAAAGCAACTGGGTTTTTTTTTTCATTTGAAATATTAAAAAACGATTTGAAATCTTAAATTACAATAGAAAAAAAATTACAATGCATTGATTTTCACCATAACAAATACAATAAATGATTTGTCTACTGTGGAAAAAATGTGCTTTACTGTGAATGTATAAATCTGTAAAAAAAAAGTGCTTTACTGTGAATGTATAAATCTGTAAAATGTGTAAGATAAATAGTGTAAAATGTCCATTAAGCAGTGAATGTGCTTCATGGTACATTAGGATCTTGGCCCCACTGATATCCCCCAATAATGAGTGTGATTTAGTGATTTAACGCTTTGTTTGCCCTCCCTGGCTCACCACCCCTCTGCAGATTCCCCCTTGTACACAGGTGTATTGGCTGTGTGTAATGAGTTCATTACCAGCCCCGTCAGTGAACGTGTTTATTTGGCAAACCAGAGACGCCTGCTCCTTCTTTCTCTCTGGATCTGCTTCCAAAGAGGCATTTAGCTAAAATAAGCTCTGCAGTACGACTGGACAAAAAGAAGTCAGTTAAGATCATTACAGGACGCTGGGTAAACATAACAGAGGTTTCCGGTTATGACAATAACTGGAAACAAAACACAAATCTCTCTGAAATACATAGACGCAATTATCTGTATAAATATGGATGTTGGGCTTTTACTTTGGTTTTGTTTATCAACTAACAGATCACATTAAAATAATAATAATAAAAATTTAATTTAATGTAATTTAGCATTCAGCAAAATGACTTTTTTTAAATCACTGGGCATCCTGAGTAGGAATGTACCAAAATCAAAAGTCTTGGCTGAAACTGAAAATGAGGAAACAAAGGCTGAAAACCAAAACACAGAGAAGAAATTATTTTGCTAATTATTATTTGACTCTTATTAAAAACAAAGCACATTTCAGTGTAGAGTTACTACAACAAAGTGCATTCTAAACAGGTGCAACTGCTAAAAGATATTTTTAAAAATTCTCTGTAAGCCTACAACATAATAGTGTATCAAAACCGAGATGCAGATGGAACCATAATAATAATAATCTTAACAAAACACACACACATATGTATGCATATATATATGCCTATAGTTTTTCTTAACAACTTAAACGCACCACTTGTTGTACCACACAAACAGAACGTTACAACTCTGTTTTACCGGCAATGTTTGTTGCCTTACATAGGGACGGACAGATCAAGAACACTATGAATCTGAGGACCTCATTTCCCAAAACTATTTACAAGGGATGGCTCAAGACAACTTTTTCATGTCTGATACCAATATAATACTACATCTTGTATGTGGCACCATTACCGCTACCAATATGATACTTTTTTTTTTTTTTGCACAATGTTTTTTTCAAAGACCAATATTGAACCGATATCCATCCTGAGTATCTGATTGAGCCATCCCTAATTGTCAGGGCAGAAAGTCCTGCTTCAAAAGACCATAAATAATTTTAGCAGTTATGTCAGAACTTATTCCACCATTATTTTAGAACACTGACAAAGTTTATGTTACAGGTATGTCACATGACCCTGACAAGTGCCTTGACATGTGTCAAGTAATTTAAAAATATAAAACATCTTTAACATTGATTATCAATCATTTCAAAATAACATGATATTTATTTTTTTCAGTGCTAGTCCTGTACCAAATGACCCTCGGGGTTGGGGTGAAACAGCAACCAGTACACTGCTACTGCTCCCACCTCCACACACATACACACACACACACAGAGACAGACACACACTTCATGACTTTTAAGATCCCTTCTAATTCCCCTCCATTAGTCCAGGAGGAGGGAGATGTCACCCCAAAAGTGGGATGTACGGTTAGTAATTACAGCCCAAGGTTGAGCTGTTCCAGGTGAGAGCGCTGGAGTGGTTCTATCGCCCTCCCTGTCCCATCCCGCTATCCTACTCACCCCCGACCACCTGCACCTCCCCCCACTGCTGTCTCACCATCCATGTAACCTATCAAAGTGTGCACCCAACCCCCACCCCTTAATCTTCCTCTGACCCTCTCTGTCAACCTCCAACTCCCTACACAATCTCTCATCATGGGCTCACACCATACTGGTCACTCTGGCTGCCCCCGTGACCAGACTTATGCGAGTACCGACTGCCTCACATGCACTGACACACACGCGCAGGGAGGAGAGAGAGAGAGAGAGAGACAGAGAGGGAGAGAGAGAGAGAGGGGTAAACAGGGAGCCCAGAAGCCTACTCATCCACACAAATGGTATCTCCTGAGTATAAGGCCTATTTTCATCCCGTCAACAAAATCCCTTCCCATCATGCAGTTCCATCCCCTGATCATCTGCAGAATGTAAGTTGAATGGGTCCATAAAGTACTCAACTACACACAACAACCTTAAACTCTGTTTTTATATGTAACCTAGAGTCTTTGACCAAATATCTATACTCTCTCCTCAGCTGATTTAGGTTTATTATATTACAGCTGTAATTAATACAAGGATCTGTTCTGATTAAAAGGAAAAGAGAGTCCTCGGTTTACCACGTCCTCAACCTACAGCATTTGGTAGTTACGTCACCATCTCCCATACATTTTTTTAAGTTTTGTTCCATCATTCTGGCATGCAGCATGAGCAAGCAAATAAATTGTCACTATACGCGGAAGACGACTTTGTTAACAATCACCAGTTGTACTCCATAACTTTAACTTTATTTACGTAGCACTTTTCATACAATAAATGTATAGATCTCGTTGTGCTACATTTGCTTTCTTTCTTTTGTGTTTTTTGGGGAACTTTTTGGCCTTCATTATGTGTATGTGTAGTGACATAGGTACTGATGTACAGTAGGAAAAGAGTTCATGACTTAAGGCAAATATCTTGTCATGTCGCACTGTAGGAACAGTCGAGGAACCCGTGTATGTTCATCTCAAAGCAGGAGGGCAATATTCCAAGGCCGTTCACACAAACACACACGTGGCCCTCTGAATACCAACACAGATGTGCCGCAGATGTCATTGAAGCCACACACCAGCCACTAAGAGATGCTCAAAGACACACAAACACTAAGACACAGGCGCCACACGCTGCCCTCACCAGGATCATCTTTTTATCCATCTAATTCTTCCACGTATGAATAATGCATTCGCCTCCTTACTGGGACTTGGGTTTTACACATCGCTGCACAGGTCTTTAAGGGGGTCCTTATTCATAAACAGCAGTGCAGTAAATACCAGAGCTTTGTAGCCAATTTAATGGCAGTTATGCTTAACAAATCTGCCTCGATCTAATAATCAGCGACAAAGCTTGGCTGTACCTTTAATCTACACACGGGGGCTCCTGCGGCTCCTGTAAGCCTGGGATCTCTACATCCACAAAGAGGAGAGCACTGGCCTGACACATAATCCTCCCAAATCTCTACTACATCAACAAAAACACAGTGCTGTGTTAGTCTTTCATGAATAAAAATAGCATTCAAAGTCTTAATGCACTGCGGAGACGGTGAAAAAAGACACTCAAACGTTACGAGGATCTCCTCTCTAAATCCTTGCTATTTCCTGTCTCAGCGGCCAAGAGAGTTTTTCGCATCTTTTTCCAGGACTGACACAGTAAGTGGATTTCAGTGGTATACATTTACTCACAGTAAATGTTTCTGATAATCTGCATTGTTCTAAAACTGACTGTGCAGTGTAGAGATTAAAAACTAATCAGTTACTGAAACTTACTCACTAGACCAGTGGTTCTCAAACATTTTTGGTCATTTCCTACTTTAAATAAATGGGGATTTTCAAGCCCTACCTGCCGCAATCGCCCCAACGAAAATCTGGAAAAATATTCTTACATTTCAAATTTATAACTACTAACATCAATTAACATCATATTTTATATTACATCAAAAAACACAAAGAGAGAAAATATGTGTTTCACCAGTGGGGCTCACCCCACACTTTGATAAGCACTGCACTTGGCCATGCTATCTTCTAATGTTGTGAATTTTCTGTACTAGAATTTATTTACTGTACTATTGAACTAGAACTTAATTGCCTTTACTATGAAAGATGTCCATTAATTGTTTTACATGTACACACTCCCCTGACAGCAGCTTTGTTGTTTTTAGCACAGCGAAATAACCCTATTTATTCATCTGAAATGGTCAAAACCTGCCATGTTTGACTCAGAATCCGTATCAGTCTCTTGTTAAATATTTCAAAATCAAGCATCTAAAAAACCATCTATGGTTTATCTGATCTGATACCCAAGTCCAAATGCTCAACTTAACTTTTCACAATATGCTGTAAAAAGGGACCTTATCATCTCAGCAACAGCAGCCCACGGTATCCTGGAAATAAAAAGAAGGTATTGAATTGATATCGGTATCAGCAGGTGCTCCAAGTTGCAGTATCAGTATCGGACAGGAGAAACCTGTATCAACCCCCCTCTAATTCAAACCCAGTGCAGTTATTGGACCACAGGTCAATATGTCATTTTCGGCCGTTATACAGATTGTCCTTACAGAACATGGCATTTGCTGTAGGAGGCTGGGAGGTTGAAGCTGCTCCCCAGCTACAAATACATGCATGTGTTGATATGACAGGTGGTCAAAGTGGCTGTCATGGAATAAAGGTCAATGCAAATGTCAGAAATAACATAAAAACAGTTACCAAACACTTAAACCTGACCAATGTTGAAGAAAAAAAAGGTTCAAGTTTTGAAACTTATTTCCTATGTTGAAAAGCAAAGGTTTTTTTTTTTTTGCGTGGACCAGCTTTGGCCATAGATAGCGACAATTGCCCTTTAAGGACAACTGCTCCACAAACCCCTGGCCAGTAAATAACCTGGGAGTTAGCTGGAAGGAGAAGAATTAGGGACTGAGCAGCAGTGTGTAATGGGGATGGATAGGAGGCTAAGGTCTGGGTCACAACCACTTAGGAATCAATGCAGAGGTATAGGTGTACAATCACAGGTCTATAAGAGCCAGAAAACATAAATAAAAAAAACAAACAAATACAGTGGATAGTAAAGAGAAGGAGAAACAGAAGGAAAATAAACTGTGATCATTTATTTCCATTATCGCAATTAAAAACACCATTCAAGTTAGTAGTAGTTTTCAATTTGGCAAGGAAGGCATAGAGAGGAAGACTAATGGTGAGAACTGGGTGCAGTAATCACATCAGCAAAACAAACTGCATTACTGTCCCATCTCTGAGCTGGAACACAGTACCACACTGGAGCTTTAAGGCTGGAACTGCAGCTAAAGATTATGAGGCATGACACACAGTCATTGAGGAAATATGTCATGTTCATATGCATTACGAGAAATGTACAACATTTAAATGTGCATAATAGCAGACACAAGCTACCAAAAACTTGGTAAAAAAAAAGAAAGATGTCTAACCGTTAACTCTATTATTAATGTACTAGAGTAAAACAAAGGTTGTGCTAATATGGGTTTATTAATCATTTCCAACCTTTAAAATGACTGTGGTTTATAACGTTTGATGCATTTTGTTTTAAATAGACACTTTTATTTTTAAATTAAAACTTCAACCCAATTAAGAGAGTTAATAATAATAACCTTAATCGAGGTTTCCAACGAAGGCCAGACGAGACACATGATACGGTAATGGTTGAAAACGATAGCGTCAGCATTATAGACCTTCTGCGCCCTCTTGTGTTTTTTTCTTACACTTACATGTGGAAAAGTCACAAAATACTGCATAAATCAGGACTTAGGGACAATGTTTAACACATTCCACTGTGCCTGTCATGCACACACACGAATTTCTTTACAGTCGCTATTAGTGACAGAATACGCAATTCACGTAGGAGCTCTGTAAAATAAATATATAAAAAATATTGCAAAAGTATTCAACTACAAAAAGAGGACATTCCTGCAGTTAACATTTCCTGCACAAGCAGTGTGTTTAACATTTGAAAGCATTTGGTTTACATTTGTTAAGAGTTACCCCAAAATGGGTTTGTTGGTGGAAGGTAAATGTTTGAGTTTATTATACATTTTATTTAATAAATAAAGGTTTGAGTTTATTATACATTTTATTTAATTTCTTTTTTTTATTTTAATGATCAATACATTTAGAAATTATTTTTGGAAATTGTGTGTATAACATAACACATAAAGCATCAGTTACTGAGACTGGCACTTCGTTCTTACAAGATATATAACTGACATATGATATTAACACCATTTTAAGTGCATGTATTGTGGTTTCTTTAAATATAAACTTTTTAAAAACGACAGTAATTTGTAGAAAATATTACAAAATGTTTTTGGTTATGTATTATATTACAAATGTTTTACAAAATATCAATGTAAATTATACCACAGCACATGTTTTTCTTTCTATTGTTTTTTTGTTGTTGTTGTGACTTTACAGACTTTCTCTGTTCAGTTTGCAGACATTTATTGCAGTATAAGAATATTGTAACTGATGACCTAACTGCTGCTGATGGTGGGTTAGTGCACGTTATGTTTCTGTTAGACGTAGAACTGTCAGTTAACATTTTTGATGCACCTGCTGACTTTCGTAAGACTGGATAATGGCACGTGCAAAGAGAAAGAAATGTATCAGTTTTCCTCACAAAAGCTACCAACCTACCTGGTGTGATGCTCATCTGATATAAACCAATGGACAATAGAAATGTGTTCTGTGATTATATGAGGCCACAATTTACACAATTTTTACCAGGCTGTTGTTGCTGGGTGCAAAACCCAGCGTCTCTGATCAGTGACCATAGCATAGGGCATTTGCATAAACTGTATGTGAAGTTTATACTGATGTGGAAGCCTATTTATAAAGCCTTATGGTGATGCTGTTTGATCCCTTCAAGACAACATCTCTGCATAACTGCGCTGATGAGGTAAATGAAGAAGCTCTTCTGAATACGTAGCTAATACTTGTTTTTTGTTAACCTACATTAAAAGTAGAATACATTTATTCCCACACCATTATATATTCATTAGACATTTGCCGCACATGCATGCACATCGTTCATTACAGTTAGCTTTGCATCAAACCCAGCCAATCTAAATTAACTCTAATATAATAACGTTGTTTTTTTTTTAATTAATATGTCATTAGTTCAGTCTAAGTGCGTCATTTGGAAGCTAACGTAAATGAATGTGGCGGTGCTGGAGTCTGCAGATAGGAGAGACCTAGTCGTTTAGCCATTGTTTTAAAATATACTACACCGCCACCTAGTGTCCTCATTGTAGAAGCACATGTCTAAAAATAATTAAAATGAAATGAAGAACAGATGGAATAGGGGTTAGGGAGGGAGAGACGGATGGATTGTTGTGCCACTCACCAATACCAGCGTTGGCCCCAGTAACAATGATGACCTTGTCTGAGAGGTTGTGACCTTGAAGGATCTCGAGGGCAGTGGTGTTACCGTCATACCGTTTTGGCTTTACGGTCACATCCTCTACTGTAAAGGCCTGGCGTGGATCAAAATATGTGGTCCTCTTGTTGATGTGACTAGAAAATGAAAGAGAATTCAGCATGTCACCTGCCAACGACATGTACAGGAACAAGACAGTTAAAAATGAATACTTACTCAACATATATGATCTGCCCTTTTTCATCAATCTCTTGCTCCCATCCATAAGGTAGATCTGCAGGGAAAGATCAATTATGAGACTATTTTAAACAATCTATAGGCATTGCATCACAGTTTGCTTCACATTTCATACCTGCAAAGTGTTTTAAGTAAAAGTAAGTAAAATGAGCCAGGTTAAGGATGATATGATATTATATTTAATAAAGATAATAAACTATTAGAAATCATATATATATTAACAATAAATATGTATAGTAAAGTAACACATTATGTGAAATGATGTGAAAATATGTTGTGTATTGTCTATGTCAAATAAGTGTCTTGGAGTAAAAGCAAAGGGATCAGTTTTTTTTTAAGCTTAGAATACAGTTTTAAAGTTTTAAAGATTAAATTTGAACCTGGTCAAAACCTTTCACAAGTACAAGAAATGTCGTAAACCCAACATGCTCAGTGTTAAAATGTGAATAAAAGCAAGCAAGCATGGATATTAAAGAAGGGATAAATGTCAATCAACAATAAAGATGCAGAGAGGTTTTCTCGGTTTTCAGATGCTCAGTATATGTACAACAACCAATTCATAAACTGAAAAAAAAGAAACTAGGAAACCTCCAGCACAGCGCCTTTTCTTTCCAGTCTTGGGGTGTTCCCACTGCGTCTTCATCTCATCATGGCTGGCAAAACACAAAGACAAACACTGTTTTGTTTTTCAAACAGATTTATATATTTTTAAACACAGTTAGTTAATGTTTAACAGCAACACTGAAAAATGAACCTTAGTCTTAAGTGGTTTATTATTTTTAAATGGGGGGTGAGGGGTTATCTGCATTATGACATCACAATGCACTGAGACGTCAAAGAATACAAAAAGAAGCAAGTTGAACAAACATTACTGGTATTCAGAAAATTATTTTTGTATTTTGTTGACTGGTGATTTTTGTTAATTGTTCAATGAGCTAAAAACAATAAACTACAGGGTGTTGTAAAAACAGTGTCTTTGTTAAAAGCGTGCAATGAGCTTGTTGCACAGGTTAGCTTGAATAGGTTTAACAAATCATGTGGTCTGTGATCAGATGCAGTTATTTATGTGTTCACATCTGTAAAGACAGTGAGAGTTGCGTTGTGTCACCAGCTTGGTTAACATCAACCCTTTCTGGTGCTGTGAACCACCAGGGTGCATGTGGACTGTTTTTTGCTCAAGTGCACACTAACAGCAGACAGAGAAGGCATGTTAGGAAGCAGCAAGACAAAATAAAAAAAGTAGTAGTTCACAGGTTAGAGAAAAGGTTTTCTGTACTAAGGTTAAAATGGGAGTCTGGCCTGCAAATATTTGCACACAAGGAACTACTTTCGCAACAGCTTCTTCCATGCCACTGTGAGAAATATTGCAGTTCATTCCACATCATTCACACTCTGGAATTAAATCATTTCATCTGCTATGAAATAAATAATGTGCAATACTACAGCTCACACACAATACTGTATTTACTTTTAATGTAAATGTTTTAAAAAAGGAATGATAGTGATGGCACATGAAATGTAACGATGTGGAAATGCTTTGTCAATCTTGAAATGGTGAAATAAACAGTAAAGAAAAAAGAATATGAAAAAAAGTTTTATACTATTTGCATATTCTTTTTTCTCTACTGTATCTCATGACCTTAGACGTATGCAGTCTGTTGCATATCAGGCTCTTGTTCTTTTTTTAAACATTTAAATATTTTTTAAAAGGTTACATTAAATTGGATCATTACAAGAAATACAATTAAAATAAATATTTATAAATATTTGGGGAGGTAACTTGCTAAAGTAGAAAGCAAATAAGAACATCATCCTATTTTTTCTGTGTTAACTCTCATGTTTTTGTAGTTGACATACATCTATGTTCACCAGGGCTAAAGAGACCAAACCTCGTTTTGTTTGTTGGTCGTTAGGAAATAGTATTAATTTTCATTAAATTCTCTGTTACTCTTTGTCAGTCCAACATGACAATATTTTTGAATAAACGGGGGAACACCATGTTTACTAAAAAAGCATGACTACAAAAAGGTTAAAAAAATTGTCTGTGGTGAAAATGGTCACTTTTAGGCATGGAAAAATTAGGTTCTGAGACAGGGCTGGACAAAGGACTGTCAGACACGGAACGGGTATTTACAACGGCACTGATATTTCACTAATTTAAGTATAATTTGCACCTGACATTTTCATCAGTAAGTTGCTGCCCAGAGAAGTAACACAAATGGGACACAAAACTAGTACAGGCACAGCAAATAACAAACAATTAAAGCAAAACAGTCGAAGGAAACTAGGCAAATACATGTCATAGATAGGAATACACGTAAGTAAAGTAATACAGTAATACAGAATTTCAAATGTGAGTAGAAGGAGAATACTTACTTGGCATAGTAAATCCATCCGTCTTTAGTAGACCTCTCTTCCCATCCAGGCGGTAACTCGTCCTCGCTGTCTGTATCGTCCATGCCGGCGTATTTCAGAGCAGCCATTGCTTCACTTGTTTTAGCACGAGCTACAGACAAAAAAAATGTTTTTTAACAGCTGTGAACAGTAAATGTAGCAGTTAGCACACCAAAATCAGGTAAACAGCTAAGTATCCCCATGCACTTCCGCAACAATACAGTGACGAAAGCCGATGTGGCTCTCGGGATATGTAGGAGTGAGGCGGAACATCGCTTCAGCGGTGACGCTAATACACTAAGCGGAAGCTACGCCTCTTTTGAATTACCCATTCAAAATGAATTGATTACAACACGTGATTGAAGCTTTTATCGACCTCAAAAACACTTTTTGTTATTCTTTATTCTAAACAAGGAAATATAAATATAAACACATATTAGCACAGAGCACATAATGCAATTGAAGGACCGAAAGCCAGTGCCCATTTTTATTTCTTTATCTATTTAATTATTCTTTTGTTTAATGAGTGCATTGAATTTTAGCAGAAGAACTGAGATAATGAAAATGTTATATATATTGTTTAGCTTTTTAAGGCTTAAAATACTGCAGTAGGTAGAACACTGTTGTGAGTTTGGAAAATCCTAAAATGAATTGAATATATACTATTCTATATAAACTATAAAGTCATGTTTTATTGTTATTGCACTTGTTCAAAGGTTTCATTGAGGTCAAGGCGCCCTTGACTTGCCTTTGCATCGTATGTCAGTAACAGTAAGACAGATAATATATAATAAAATATATAGTGAATACATTAAACACTTAAACATGAACCTAATATTAAACATGTTGTACTCTGTGTTGCTTATACATTACAGATCAGGGAAATGACTACTGTAATGTTTTTTTCCTATGACAGATTGATTGAAATCATTTAGCAAACTTAATCTATATAATGTCTAGTAACCTTCTTCATTGACCATTCAGGTATTTAAGACCCATGTGCTCAGAATAATTATAAATGTTTTGCAGTTGCAAATATAGGCTAGTGCACACCGGTGCTACTACTGCAGCATGATCAGAGACAACTGTTATACCATGCTGAGATTAACTGGTCTTCACACTTTGCTATTTTTGTGACCTACTTTTTTTAATCCCATGTGTAGGGGCTCAATTTCTGCCTTAAGTGAGCAACTGATGGATAGTGTGCATGGTCTCGCTGTATTCTGGCAGCTGGCTTTCCTGGAAACATGAAATAAGAGACACTTGCATACTGAGTTTAGAGAATTTGCTGATACTTGTTTAGCCTGGTTACTAATGTTCACTCTATTCACGTGAACTGTCACACATTTCGGGCTGTGTCCTTGAATCTTTAATAAACATCCACTATGGTGGTAAATGAGACTGCATGTCTCATTTACCATTTATTTATCACTATTTACCATATTTACCATATATTTACCATGTAATTTATCATTATATTTACCATGTATTTATCACTACAGACAAATTACTGATAACGTAAGTAAGCAGTGTGGAAATAAAAATAAATAGTTGTAATTTTGGTGAGTATAAAGTTATTATGAATCAATCAAATAATTTGGAATTATATTTTTTACCAAATCTTTAGCAATAGGCTTTTACTTAAGGTTTTTAAATGAACCTGCCTGTCAAGGCCATAGAAACAAACCAACAGCATACGAGATGTCTTCCTTCTGTGATTGCTGGAGCCAAGAGAGTCCAACTGCGCATGCGCCTTAGTGGTGGCGAGGGGAGGCGCTGTGAGGTGGGCTGACCAACTGTAAGCAAGAGTGTGTGTGAGAGAGGAGAAGGGGGGGGTCTTCGGAGCGCACAGTGAAATGTGTATCATCTCAGCAAAAACATACGCACTAACGTGGAACGTGCAAGCGACCAGGTCATTTCAACTAAACTTTTGTTTTGTCGTCTTAAGACTGTTTCGATGGCGTACAATAAACATTTTAATTGTAAAGCGCAATATTGATTGCGACTTCGGTTCTCTTAAAGAGTGTCCGCTTCCCCTCCTCTCGATGAAGCGCTGCGATGCCCTCTGATTTTATATCCCTCCTTAGCTCGGATCTCGACCTCAATTCTCCCAAATCTCTTTATTCCAAAGGTAAGATGCATCTGAAAACAAGCCCGTGCTGTGAAACTAACATGCTGTGTTTTGTTATGAATGAAGAAATGTCAGTGTGCTGATGGCTTCAGTTAAGCTGCTATAGCTAACTGGGGTTAGCTTCCTTACGCTGCTAGCCAGCCTGGCTCGCTTTAGTTACTAAGCTGCGTTTGAATTGGTTACCACTGTGGTGGCTATTTGTCAATGTCACGTACATAGAAATGCTCGACAGCTCCTCAGTATTTGCATTATTGTTACATTTGGTCACAATTGTGTGCTTGAGTTTATGTTTTGTAAACGTCAAACTAGCATTTGGATAAATCCACACTAAAACCTGATTATAAGCTCTGTCCCCTACCACATTGTTCACTGGTTCATGTCTTGGTCGCATGGGTGGGCGTGTGTACATGTGTGCGTATATGACTAGCAGCTTGAAAAGTTGTATTTGCGTGTTGTTTTTTGGAATTGGAAGGTTTTGGATTACGAGTGGATTTCAGCCTGAATGCCTGCGTAACACTAAAGAATTAACTTTTTGTAATTTGGAAACGCTCAATGCACCGCCGGAGCAATACGTCCTATACATGTGTAACATTGTCGTTGAACACTGTTATTAATGAGGATGGTGGCTGCTGTATTATGTAAGGACTAGGCGGTTGTATCCATTTGCTGAATGGGTGAAATAGTGGCTTCCACGAGCAGCCTGTGTGTGAATTAAGTTCGTTCTCATCAACAAGTCTATAATTTATTGGGTAAAGACACCAGTGAGCCAACTCAAAGCACGAGCAGCCAAGAAACCAGTGTGTTCTTAGGGGACCTCTATGAGGGGTAGGTGACATGTCTGACAAGAAACATTTAGTAACATTTAACGCTTGCATACAACATTAAATCATTAGAATAAGAGAAGTAAAGCTGTGAATTATTATATCCAGGCTAAATTAGGACACGTTTTGAAAAGGCATCATCATATTACAATCCTGTACCAAAAGTCAGTGGACACAGAAGAGTAGTCGCTGCGGATTAACTAATACAAGCTCGACTGCATATTAAGTTATATGAAAGTCAATCGCCATGAAAACTCCAGAAGAGGAGTCATTGTTTTCTATTTAAATGGTTTGTTGGTGTAAAAGTGCCGCTCAAATGTTTTATGCGGGCAAATTACAGAGGCATTAAGCAGAACCTGGTTGCTATTTCTATCTAATACACCCAACTGCATCCTGCTGTGTGTTTGGGTTGCCCCATGTATTTAAACTGTGCTCATTACCTTATCTGAAAGTATTGGTTCCTGGAAGTGAAGAGGCTAAATTGAGCCCACCATATGGTAACAGTGCATTGCATGTTGGCATGTTTATTTATATCTCAGCATTGGAAAGGCAGCTTACTAAGAGGTCAAGGTTGTAGTTTATTAACGACTTAGATGGGAACCTTACATATTAAGAAGTACTTAAGAGCAAGTGCACCTGACCAGAGTGCTTTTTGCCTCTCTGAATACATTTTTCTCTTCTGCTGGTAATGAGTTTGTAGTTTAAAATAACCAATGGCTTTTGTTTAAAGGTACCCTTTTAAACAATAATAAATAATAAACAAAAATGCCATTATTTGTTGTTTTAGTGCACAAAGTAAGTCTTTTGTTAGCCCTGGCATTCAGCATGTAATGCGTTGTGGGTATACAGTATAATTGAAGCAGCCATTGTTGGGCACAGTAATACATTCTTGGTCAGCATATGTCCTGCGTTTTGCAGCAAAAACATAACAGTCCTGAATAGTCTTTTCTCCTATTGCTGTCATCCAATCCAAGTGCAAAAATAAAAATGGACCAGTGCCCTGGCCTTGTTGCAATCCATGCATAACTTTGATGTGAGGTCATTTGATTGTTCTATGTCTGTGTTGGTATGTCAGACCTGTAATGATGGTCATCAGTCATCTGAATCACATAAGACATTTAAGTAAAAAAACATGGACATGATATAATGTAAACTTTTATCAAAGTAAATTAATCTCATATTCACTTTTATTTCTTTGGGTTTTTACTTCTGATAGTCTTATCCATGTGTTTTGCACATGGAAGTCTTCTTGTTTGCTGACTAAAGGCTAAATCAAAAGTGACAAGCAAACAAAAAATAAAATATTAATATAAACCACGGCTGGATGTTATATTAAGCTTTTGAAGATATATCAATATATTTTTATACACAATATAGAACAACAGTGTTGTTTATGTCATTCTGCACTCCTAATATGGATTTATAAAACAGCCAGTTTGTCTGTTTCTTGACATTGTATAATTTTTCCATCTGTCTTCAATGTCACTCTATATATATCATATATTTAGATTTTCTGGAAAATTATCGAGGCTAATAGGCAGCTCCCAGGGAGCAGTGTGTGGGGACAGTGCCATGCTCAGTGCAATTCAATGACAACTTGGAAGCTGGTGGATGGCTTTTTTTTTTTTTACTGTTATTCTTCCCAAGTAAACTAGCTGCTCCTTCCTCTTTCTTGAAACACAATGAAAGAGAAACTACTTTTTGTGTTTCGGGGATGAGGCCCATCGCAATCTGTGTGTTTATATCACAGATTGAGAGCAACATGCAAGGATGGTGAAAGGCAAAATCATTTCCATTATCTTGGTTTTTATTTTTATAAATTGTAATTGAAACCAAATTCTCATTTCTTTTCATGTTGCCATATAATTGCATACGAGTTAAACCAGCTAAGAAAGATTAATTCATCTTATTTAAATATTACACTTGTTGCTAAAGTGCTGATGTGCAGGATTCCTGTCTAATATACAGAAGGTTCTGGGTTTGATTCCCCCATTCCTTAGTGACATACGTATTAGGAACAAGGACATTTTCTGGCATATCACTGTTGCCAACTGTTGTCAGCAACCCTTAAGAAGATGCAAGTTCAAAGTGAGCTTTGGTGGATTTATATGTAGTAAGTTAACAATAGGTAGTATTTGATTAACAGAAAGTGGGACTTAAGATCCCAGATTTGGTTTGCATTGGTTGTGTTTATATCAAAACTTGTGAGGTTAAGATCCCATTTACACAACAATGACCTCATTGTAGCCAAGAGCACCCTAGAACCTAGAAATAAAATGCAGCCAAGAAATTTGCTTGCGCAGCTGGCAAACATAATGCCCGGTTTCTTTTTGTTTTTAATGTCTGGGTGAAGGCAATACTTAACTGGTATTATTGTTGGGCTACAATAAATGTTCAGCAAGTAGAGGCATGGTTTGCATACCACTGTGTGTCTGGACAGCCTGGTATATTAGAGAATTCTAGTACACTGAATGAACTCGTGGAAAAGCTTTTGCATACTCAAACTGAGAGTGAGATAATAGTTCATTTGCATGAGTAGAATTCACTTTGCTTCAATTTAGTGTGAGCTGTTGGTGTTTAAATGACCGAGCAGCATTATTAGCATTTAAGTATTGATAAAAAAAAATGGTCTGGGCTAACTGGAGATGCTCCCAAAGAGATAGAAGTTTGAGAATTTTCATTTGTGTATTTACCAAGTACTGACATTGGTGCTTCTCATTAGGTTGGATAGATATTCAATGGCCTGAAATACAATGTGTAGATGAGCCCAAACAATCACAAACAGGAAAATGCTTAAATAGTTTTATTTCCATGTCATGAACAGAAAACTACATCAATCCAAATAAAATAAAAGTAGTAATCAAAAAGTCTTTAAACTGACATTGTCCATTGTGTTGTTAAAGTGAGAAGCTACACTAGGCGTTTATACAGAACTTCCTCAGGTGTCTTGTTAACCAACTCGTGCCAGAACAAAACTTGCAGTTACTCTTGTTTTTCGTTGTCCCTGGTGTTAAAATACCTCCAAACTGCTGACATTGTTGACCTACTTAAATAAACTACCCATGAGTGCAATGAGACACTGAACTGCAGTAGGAAAACAACACTCACTTCCTGAATGGTGTGCAGCTGGTTGTGGTGAAAAGCCCTTACGGAGTATCATGTTGCTAGATTGGCAAATGTTTTCGAGTGAGTATTGGGCTTGACATTGATACCGGTATCAGTACCGTTGCATCCTTTCTAAAGCCATATTTGTGAGAGAGAAACGCTTAGACTGAAACACTGCACTCTTGTCCACTTTATAAAGTTTTCTCCTTCATTGTATATATATAATAATATACTTCGTCCAAAAACCTTGGACGGTTGATCCAGTGCTTTTCCAGAATCACTTTGGGAACGGTTGATCCAGTGCTTTTCCAGAATCTCTTTATAATAAATGAAATACTTAAAAAATAACAAATGTGAAATGCATTCCAACACAAGTACAATACAAATAATAAATGAAAAATAAGGGCATTGTCAAAACATTTTGAAGATTCTATTAATCAGAGGTCACCAACATAGAGCCCGGGGGCAACAAGTAGCCTTCATGGACTATCAAAGGTGCACTTTGAGTATGCTCTAAAAACAAAACTCAACAACAACATGAGGGTCAAACAATTATAACTTGCATTGCTGTTCTTTTTGCATCAATTACACTCATGATGTTTAGGTGGATGCAGTTGTGATGATGGGAAGAACGTCTGCTTCTGTATGTCCTTATTATTACATAATTCAGGAAATGTAGCTCTTCGTATTACTCAGTACCCTTGGAGTAGCTCTCAGTTTCAAAATAGGTTGGAGACCCCTGCTACACATGTATTCAACATTTTGGCAGACTATATTTAAATTCTTGGCCTCAGTCAACCTCAGAGTACAAAGTCAACTCCATCCAAGGGAGGAACTTGAAATCAATATTCAGTACAGCCTTACTTATAATATTAATGCTTTGCAGCATTTTTTGCACAGTTGAGGTTTGCATGTGTAGGGACTTCTTTATTCTTCCTTGTGATTGAGTTGACATAACACTTGAGCAGGCCTGTGTTTGGGCTTTTCTAATGTTAAATCACATGTTTAGTTTTAACATGGTAGATTAGCCGGCATTGTTTGCAAATTATATTTTTGCTTTAGGCCTTTTTTATTCAAAAAATGGGTTTCCTTCATATATAGTGTTCATATATGTGGACTACCACAAATCACAAGCAATAGACACGAGAGAGAAAGTTCCAAATAAATCACATCTATTTTGGAACTGAAAATGAAATTATCCTATTAGCTATCAGTGGGTACAAATCCCATCCCTATGGCAACATGTAAAGGATGTTGTAGTGGTAATAAATAAAAAGTGATCACAAGACAATGTAAATAATAAACTGACATTTGTCTAAATTTAGTTTGAGCTGGGAATGGTGACGACATTTACTTTGTTGTTGTTTTAAATGGCTTGGAGACGAGCTTAAGAAAAAGTCAATAAACTTTAATTTTCCACCATCTTCTAAGTGAAAGGGGTATTATTAGTGCCTTAAGTCATGTTGGTTTTCCAGTAAGACATAACCATGGTCCATATATAAAGGCATTATCCATCCTTCTACAATCCATTAGACATAGAGTTATCTCACTGTGTGGAAGTTGTGGGGTTGTTCTTCAATATTCTTTAATGTATTGATTTTGATCCTCCTATTACTGTTTTAATGTTAGTAGCCCCTAGACATTGTAGTTTTTAACAAATTAGATCTACTAAAAAAACTGCAGCACAGTCTTCGTCCTCGTACCTCACTTGACATCTTATGACGTCACAGGAGCACGGGATTATGTGTCCTGACAGTTTTACTGTTCAGCTGGTGCTATATCATAACCCGTATCCTATCATACAAGTATCAGTAACTACTACACATGCTGGGTGCTGATGATGCACAGTTAAAATATCTGTCGGGGTGCTGATAGCTCCCAGTTTCATAGCAACCAGATTACCATGTGTTCATCTTCCATCAAATGTGATGTATGCCAGTGGAAATAGAGTGGCTGGTTACAGTCATGCAGGAATCATCATCAAATATCAGCAGGTGCATCTTCTGATTAATTACGCTAACCTCAATCATCGGGTCATAAAATACCTTGTGTAGTGTTTTTGGTTCTTGGATGTAGAAAATGTTGTGCTGATGTGTGATCCAAGTCGGTTTCCCAGGCATTGCGTTATCGAGAATTCTTTATTGGAGAAAAAATAGATAACGATTCTTACAGATATCACATAATTATGCTAATATCGGGCAACTAGGGATGTTAATATTGGCCTGATAATATTGGTCGGCCGAGGTTATCGGGCCAATATTACCATCCCTAGTTTCCAACACCATTTCAAGTGTATTTATGCACTTTATCAAGTGTTGTGTCTACGATGCACTAGTACTTTTGCTTACTCAGTACCAGTGTTAGATGAGTTGATAGTTTGGTCTCAATGTCCCAGAACCAGACAGAAATAAACAAATAATTTTCTGTTTAAAACTTTGCTTGAGTCTCTATTTATAATACTGTTTCTCTTCTAACAGGCATTTCTCAGCTGTTGACTCAGAAATTATCTGCTTTGACAGACCTAATTTTTTTCTGCTCCTTCTCTGTGGCAGAGTCAGTATATGACCTCCTACCCAAAGAACTTCAACTCCAGTTGTCGCCCTCCCAGACCGACCCACCCACCATGAGCCAAAAGAGTGGGGGAGAACCAGGACCTCCTCTGCCTGCAGCTCTGGCTTCAGGTGAGCTAACAGCTCATCCAATGACAACCTTGATCTGGGATTAGTTTGTTTTTTCTTTAGTCCTTGATGAGTCTGTTTAGGCTTAAAAACTTAAAACAATTTCCTGGGGGCAACTTTCATTGGTTTACGAGACACATTTGTGACCTGAGAATTATATCACATTAATATCAGGTTTAACATCAGTATCCTATTTTTCTGCTCTAGTCTTAAGCCGTTTCAAAAAATGAGTTCTCATGTACTCTATTTTATTTAAGGTTTGAATAACAAATGAATCAGTCTAAGTTTTATCATAGACGGGCAGTGTGTTTTTGTCCCTTTACAGAGCTTAAGCTATATGCATATTTATTATCTATACAGTATGTACATATGCATTTGAAGCATGAGTTAACCTTGGCATTGCAGATTCTAACTGTGTGTTAGGACTTTCAGTGAACTTTAAGTAAAGTAAAGCTGCAGTAACAGTCAGTTGATTTTTGCCTGTGGTTTACACTGAGTTGTTTTTAGCAAAGTAATTATTAACATAGTGAGTCTTGCTCACAGCAGCAAATTGTAAGAGACCACAACAGGATAAATATCCAACCCCCAATATAATTAGAGAACAGAGGAGGAATGGAATAGAATGAAAACTTAACACGTAACAAAATTACACAAAACAGTCAAATTTGTAAATATTTAACCAAGCTAAATTATTGCACTTTTCTTTAGTCATCCATTGCTTTGCTTCTCATGAGTTTTTTCTATGTGGTTTTTCGGTGACACCTTCTGGTTAAAAATAATTTTGTGTGTAATCTTTGTCACCCTTCAGAGTAGTAGCAGGATACAGTTGCAGTAACTGTGTATTAAATGACAGCAGCCTGAATACATTGAGATTTGCTGATTCTTCAGCTCATTCATGTATTATGTGCTTGTTTTAGCCCAAATTTTAGATAACTTATTGAGTGCAATAAGATGTTTTGAAATGTACTGAAGTATTTTCAATTATCACTACCTTAATATGACATAAAATCAACCTATTCCTTGGTATACCATCTAAAGGAATGTCAGGTTTTCATTAACAGCATGGCATTGTAGCTTATTCTTCTGTTTCTTGTTTTGTTGTTGTTGTTTTTTTTTTTCAGCTTTCCTTTGATGCTCATACCCAATTTTTCAGTCATAGATGTTTTTAGGCAAAGATACAACAAAGTCCAAGGTGGCGTTGAACTATCTTTAGCTTTGGCTTTACATTTCTTAACATGGGTCTTTTGTCTTGTAGCATTTGACTATGTGTTACAAAAGAAAAAAAGAGTAAAAAAGAATGTATACCATTGTACTCCCTCAAACAAAAACAATTGGTCTTTTAAAATTCTGCTATGTAACCAGTTGGAAAGAATGTAATGTTTGAAAGCAAACATTTGAAGTAATTGGATAGTGCTGGGTGGTACTACTGTTGGTTAAGCATCTAAAAAATTCACTCTACTCATGTTTAGTACTTTGCGAAGTTTTGACATAATGCCAAAATTTGTTTATTTCTTTAAAAAAAAGACAAAAAAGGAAAAATCAGCATTCGTTCTTGTAATTGTATATGAGAAGCACACATCAGGCAGAGGGGCCGAGGGGTGTCAGAATAAAAGTATGAGAGCCATGATGCATGCATCACTTAAGAGTTTATCAATTTGTTTTTAATTTGTTTTAAACGCCAAATGTTTTGATAGCAACATGTGTGTGTGACTGTGTAGCAGGTTGTTAATAGATGCAGAAAAAATTTAATGTCTTTCCACATTTCTTTTGGTATCGAAAATGCACCGTACTGTGATGTCAGTGCCGAGGTATGTACCAAACTGCGGCTTTTGCATACCGTTAGAGCCCTAATGTAACAAACCCCAAAGCATATAATTTTCTGTAGATGATATCACAGATATAACAAACGAGAAAGCTGTGTAGCTTCCCTTGAACCAGACAGTGAACTACCAGGTATGAATAGGTTTTGTATTGAAGGTACAGTAAAACGTGGCAAAACAAGAGCATAAGTATTTGTATGGTTTTTAGAGGATGTTTATGAAGTTATTCAGTCAGTCAGATTTTGACTTTATGAAAGAATTGCTACCAAAAAACATAATCTCTCACATGGGCACAAGGCCAAATGGCACGATTATGTGCAAAAACAGAGGAAGAGAGGTGCAGTGGACCAGAGATTTGAGAACCTAAATGGAGAAAATACTGTAGTTCTGCTAGTGCCTAAGGGTAACAGTTGCATGGTAGAAGTTCTCACAAGTTTTGAGTTACATTTTTATAAAAGAGTAATCAATCCTGACTCGTTGCAGAGGAAGACCAGGGTAGAGGGACAGTTTGTCCAGTAGTAGAGTAGTAAAGGTATTGGAAGGAAGGAGCCACTGGAATTGCCCCATGGGGAGTTTGAACACTTTGGGTACATGCAGTGGACTGCAAAACAACATTAGCTGATCTATGGAACCCCATCTTCACTTAGTGAATAATGGTCTTCAACTATGCAGTGTTAGGGCATAGCTTAAACCTATATTTCCCCGTTAATGTCCAGGGACTGGGTCATCCTCAGCAGCCGCTCTAAAGCCCTTGGAGAAGGGTGCTACTGCTTTTAGCGTGTTGCTATTGCACACTTCACAACCAAGCATTGAAACATATTGCTGTATCCTTTTGCTCAGCCATCACCTGACGGTTTTTGGAACCCCTGTTTCCATTTTTCTTCTTTGTGCCTCTTACAGTGATACAAAGTATACAATACAATAAAGCCATAACACCAGTGCACCTTCATTTTTCACCAGTGAAAATGCTATATCGCCCAGCACTATCATACAATAGTCTCATTGTTCAACTGGGAAGTTGCCCCTGGCAGCGGATGACCTGTCTTTTTAAGTTTCATACAGAAAGCCATAAAAACTGTTTGATCCTACAAAATGGTTTAAAACAGGACACAGCAGGTATTACAGTGGAGCTTCAGAGTTTGAATTGCTTCATACTTTAAACTAAATGGTCATCGTCATGTGGAGAGAGCTAATGATTATCATTTTTCACAGATCTACTGTTCCAAAGCAGTGCTGATCAAAAGCATGACCCCCCATTGATCCTTCAGATAAGGACTCGCCAAATAAGCATACTTCAAAGTGTTTATAATTGAACAACTTCCTTAAGTTAATGAACTCATTCAGTTTACTGATTGACAGAAGTTGAGTCTTGAATGATCAGCTCTCTTGTTGCTCATTGGCTGTCTCGTTTTTATTGCAGGAAGTTCCCTCTGAAGCAGGGAGTGTCTGCATATAAAATGGTCGGCAGTTCACTGCTCCATAGGTCAGAGGCTTGTTTATTCTGTCTCCATGGCTACGCTCAGTCCCAACCAAATCTTCCAATTGGCATGCAGAAACTACTGTTTATTACTGAATGCACATTGCACAAAATGTACTATTACCATGGCAAATTTAATTTGGCACCACGTTACCAGCTTGCAAATTTGGCTGTATAAAAAATGCACAAATTTTTATGTTTGTTTTCTGGCAATGTGTATGTTACAATTTGTAGCTTGCTTTTGTTTTTTTAAAACAAAGCATGTCACTTTTGCCACATTGATTTAATCAAGAAAGGACTTTGTAGGAATCAGCACATTGGGATCTAAAGTAACCTTCTCAACTTTAACTTCAAATATTATGGCAGTGTTTGACAGCTTTCGCATGCAGAGTGAGAGCAAACCTACAACAACCTGTTGAAATTAGAGTTGGGAAGAAAATAAAACCAATGCAAATTTTGCACAAATTCAGCAGCTTCAATGGGACTGCTAGCCTGCTAGGTGTTGACCATCAGTTCTAACTTGTTCATCTCTGTATACTACTGCAGATGCCACCTCTTCCACATCCAGCCCCTCTGCCTCCTCCTGCCTGGATATGGGAGCCCCATCTACTGGCCCCTCTACATCATCTCCAGACCATCTCAAGGTTCCCCAGCTTCTCCATTCCATTGGAGGGGAAGGGGCTGGACCTTCAGAGATGAAAGGTTTGGAGAGTGCAGTGTCTGGCTCGAGCAGAGGCAACGGTGGGACAAGCGGAGCCGCAGGAGACCTGGGGTCTGGAGTGTTGTCAGGGATAGCAGTCCCACAGCCTCAAAACATGCCTTCTAAAAGGCGTCCTGTGTTGAGCATTTCTCCTCCGCCAGAGGACCTCCTTGATGACAGCCAAATGTCCTGCCAAGAGGAGCCGGTTGCCCCACTGGGTCCTGAATCGGAGCACAGCAGCAGCATGTGGGCCGATGACTCCGTCTCAAACTTCAGTGTGGTCAGCTCCATCTCCTACAATGACAACACCGAGGTGCCACGCAAGTCCAGAAAACGCACTCCTCGCCAGCGGCCTGGCCCAAAATCCGATCCTCCGGAGGACAGCATGGATGTGTTTGACGCTGACAGTGCCAAGGCTCCTCACTTTGTCCTTTCACAGCTGGGTACAGACAAGACAGGGCCCAGGTGAGCTGATGCATGTCCATTTTCCCTACGTCAAATGCAAATCCAATATGTTGGGTTCTCCAAAAACACCTGTGATTCCTGTGTCCTGCAGCTCATTTGAAGCAGTGCCCGCGTCGAAGTCCGGGTCACTGTCGGCTCAGTTTCCCTGCAGAAGTGATGGAAAGGAACTAAAGATCCTGGTGCAGCCAGAGACCCAGCACAGAGCTCGCTATCTGACTGAGGGCAGTCGAGGTTCTGTCAAGGACCGCACACAGCAGGGCTTCCCCACTGTAAAGGTCTGACAAAGATGACTACTGGCTAAAAACAGAGAATAAAGAGCAAAGATTTGAACTAGCTATTCTGCAATCACTAGCCAGATTCTTTGCACAAATGCACAATTATAGGCATCGATATTAAACGTTAGAAGTATGATTTCAGATTCTGTTTTCCAGAATCTGAAAAGTGTTGCTTTTCAGAAGCAGTAGTGTCTTATTTATCAACAAAAAAATGTTCTGTGTTTAAAATAATAGCTGTAGTTAAACAATAACAATAATACAAACCAGGGATCGCATGATAGAACTTTTTAATGTACGATACTTAGTAAAATAAATAAATACATTTGTGCTATATTGATCCCATATTAGGAAAGTTGTTGTGTTAGCAGCAGATATCATGTTAACAGGCTGCCCCGAGCAAGCACCAAGCGCATGGTTTCGCTGGGAACCGACCTCAGGCCTTGCTGCTTCCGAGGCATGCGTGCTAACCGCTACACTATGGAACCAACTGTTTTAAACTGTTTTAAACCAACAATGTTGTAAAAATGCTAACATGAATGCAGATATTTGTAGCATATCTGTCTACATTTTACTATTAACCTGGCCTGCTCTGAGTGAAATACCAATTACATACATTTGGTTGTTTGCTATTCCTGACAATATAAATTATTTCCTCAAGTTTCCTGTATTTCCTCAGTTGGAGGGAGTCAACGAGCCAGTTGTGCTGCAGGTGTTTGTAGCTAATGATGCGGGCAGAGTGAAGCCTCATGGTTTCTACCAGGCTTGTAGAGTGACCGGACGCAACACCACTGCCTGCAAGGAGGTGGACATTGAAGGCACCACCGTCATTGAGATTCCTTTGGAGCCTAGCAGTGACATGACACTTGCGTAAGGGTTTTTTTTTTGTATGTAATACGTGTTAGTTACGTCATCTGCGTGTCTGAGGTTTTTACTAATTTTTTTAAAATTATTTTCTTCTGCCCCTTCAGGGTGGATTGTGTAGGAATCTTGAAGCTGCGCAACGCAGATGTGGAAGCCCGTATTGGTGTAGCAGGATCTAAGAAAAAGAGCACCCGAGCGAGACTCACCTTCAGAGTTAACATACCTCAATCTGATGGATCCACACTTACTCTACAGGTCCCCTCATCACCCATCCTCTGCAGTGAGTATACCTGAAAAGCACGGATTTAAGTGACGCAGTTATGGCTCGGCTTGTACTCCCAAACAATATTCAACACAAGTTCATTCTTTTTGGGCATTGACTTGAAGTCAGCCTTGGCTGGAACAGACAAAAGGCCTCTTTGTCCTTTGTTCCACACTCTTGCCCATGTCAGCTGTCCAAAACTAACCCAACTGTCATGTGGTTTTGTCGCTGTACAGCTCAGCCAGCAGGAGTGCCAGAGATCCTGAGAAAAAGTCTTCACATCTGCTCGGTAAAAGGAGGAGAGGAGGTTTTTATAATTGGGAAAAACTTTCTCAAAGGAACCAAAGTTATTTTTCAGGAAAATATTGCAGGTATTAATGCGAGATAAGTTTTGTTGGTATTAGTTTCTTGATTTTGCAATGCGTTAGTTTTTTTTAAGTGATCATTTGCATTGTTTTATTTGTAGATGATAATTCATGGCAAGCTGAGGCGAAGATTGACATGGACTTTTTCCATCAGGTGAAAGAGAACATAAGAAATGCATCAAATTTTTAGCAGTTTCTTCAAGAGTAATACACCTTGATTACTATTTTGGATCTCTAATGTTTTTCAGAATCATTTGATAGTGACTGTGCCTCCATTCCACAATCAGTCAATTACTTCTCCTGTGCCTGTGGGAGTCTTTGTGATGACAAATGCTGGTAAATCACATGATGCCCAGCCCTTTACCTACACTCCAGACACAGGTAAAAGCACTAACTGATGCTCAGATAAAGGCAAAGAGCAGTCATTTGGATTGATGTTGTTGTTGTACAAACCAGTCTTGTTGATTGTAAATTAGTCAACTTATTATTAATGTTTTTTTTATCTCCAGCTGATAACTCTAATGTCCAAAGTGTTAAATCAGAGGGACCGTCTCTGGTTAAAACGTGTATATTTGATGGCCAAATGAAGTCGCTGTCTACTGAGCAAACTGATTGCTCAGGTCAGCCTTGCAAACAGGAGGACACGCCTATGGAAGTGTCAAACAATCCATCGCTTACTGATGTCTACAAAGTAAGATTTAACCTATTCTTGACCATCTGTAATAACAATGTTTATCATAGAAACTAAACGGAAAAAATGTGGGGGTTTTTTTGTTTTGTTTTTTTTGTTTCTTTTCTTAGCCATCCCCGGACCCTCTGGTCTCGGTGCAGCAGACTCTCGAGCTTAATTCTAGTCCACATCAAGGAGGAGAGTCCTTCCAGAGCCCCGTGCCCCTACAACCTGAGGACGTAGAGCTCCCACAAGCACCTTCTGTTTTCCCCAGCCTTGAAACCCTCAACACAATACAAAAGCAAGACATTACCTCCACAACCTCCTTCCCGGTGTCAGGAGACACCACGATTCCTCCTGTGACTCCAGAGGTCCCTCAGCAATTCTTAAGAGAGCCACAAGACAACCTCCCTCCTGAGAATTCTAACAACGGTGGGGGGATCGTGGTTGTTACCATGCCCCAAATATCTTCGCCGTCTCAACCCCAGACACAACAGTCAGAGGTTCCCTTGTTTCCCCAGGAAGGAGTCGCCCAGCTAGAAAGGGCTGTGAGGGAGCTGCAGGCTGGAGGTAACACTGCCTTCCAGCAAGTGTTGGAAGCTGCTGTTGCCCAGCAGCAACTAAACTCTGTGCTCTATAGCCCCCCACCCACTGCAGACTCTCTTCAGCAGCATGTCCAAGAAAACATGAACAGCCTCAGGTTGGGGACCACGGATAATTCACTGTCGACGCAGCAACAATTGCAGATGGAGCAGCAACAGCAAATGCAGCAACAGTTTCAGCAACACCAACAGCTGCAACAACAACAGCAGATTCTCGATAACATTCAGCACCAACAGCAACAACAGCAGCAGCAAGTTCTTGGCAACATGCAGATGCAGCAACAGCTACTGTTACAGCCCCAAGACCAACAGCAACTACAACAGCAACAGCAGCAGCTGATGGAGAATATTAAACAGTTGCAACAGAATCAGCAACAGCACGTCCTCAACATCCAGCTGTCAGATCAGCAACAGCAGAGTCAAATTCTCACCAACTTACAACATCATCAACTGCAACAGCAGCAACAGCAACAAAGTCAAGCGCTGAGCAACATCCAGCAACAGCAACAACTACAGCAGAGCCAGCAACAGCACGGCCTGAATATACAGCTCCCGGATCAGCAACAACAGAATCAAATTCTTACCAATTTGCAACATCATCAACTGCAACAGCAACAACAAAACCAAGCTCTCAGTAACTTGCAGCAACAGCAACAATTCCAGGAGCATCAGGTCTTGGAGAACTTACAGCAGCAGCTTCAGGCTGAGTTGATGCAACCCCAGATGAACTCCACTTCACAAGTACAACAACCAGTGTCCCTCCTCCAGCAGGCGGGAGAGCTGCTGACCATTCAAACCAGCTTTCCAACACCACCTCCGACCCACACGTCTCCTCCTCAGCAGCTCTTTCAATCGCCCAGGCCCCTTGCTGAGACCCAGAGCCCCCAACAGCAGGTCCAGGCAGCCCTGCTCCAAAACACACTGACTGTACTGACTTGTGGCAGTCTCGGCTCGGACCAACAGCCCCCTGGTTCAGCCCTTTACTTGTCTCCGAACCCGCCTCAACAACAGCAGCAGCTGGCGTTCATCTCCTCCATGGAGACATCAGCGAACCCTTCCCAGACTGTCACAATGTTTCAGAACCAACCCCAAACTCAGTTGTCTCAGATGCAGCAGCAGAGCACGCCCATGGACCAACAACATTCTCCCCAGCAGAGCCAACAACCACCGCCACAGCTCACGATTGGCCAGCAGAGAACTTTGTTCCAAAGTATTCCCAATCACTCACAGAACAACCCTGTCCCCCAGAGCCAACTGTCCCAGTCCCAACAAACTGACTTGCTCCTGTGTTCGACAAATCTCAACGCCCAAACCATTTCCTCAACTCTACTTTTTAGCACCCAGACCCAGGGGACTTCCCCCTTAGGAGACATCACTGGGGGAATCTCTCAGCCGGAACCGGCTGAGCCTATGTCCTTTCAAGACCAGAGCTCCTCAGGCAGCACCTCCGCACCCCTTGAGAATCGACAACAGAACCTGTTCCAGGAGCAGCAGCCGATGCAGGTGGGCCCAAGCCCAAGCAGCGTCCAGAACAGTCAACCCGTGGAACTGTTTCTGCCATCGACATCTCTCTCTGGCCTCCAGAGCACTATTGGCACACAGGAGCAGAACAATCCAACTCCTGCTCCTGGGACAACCATTTTTGTAGTTCAGGGTGGTATTGGCGTTGTTGCCAGCACAGCACAGCAGCCACCAGAACAACTTTTCCAGACACCTGTAGGTGGGAATTCACAAGCACAGGCCAACTTGTTCGTGTATGGCATCCAGAATGGTGAGTTAAAAAATATATATAATTATATTATATAAATAATTATAATTATGCTGGACACAAGATACCCAAAGTTAAAGGTTGAATTTTTAGCATAATAGCTTTAAAGTAATTTATCGTATATTCAGAACTATTAGTCAGACTTTTTTTCCATCCTTTGGCTGGGTTTACAACTTCTGGGAGTTGAAAAGTTGTGTTTTTTCATTCAACATACTCTCTACCTCTGATAAGATAAGACTTTATTCATCCCACACCAGAGGAATTCAGTAAAATGTCGACTCTGGTGGGACTCGAACCCACAACCTTTGAATGTCTTATTCCCAGAGTAACTAGAAGTCCAATGCGCTATCCGTTGCGCCACAGAGCCCTTGGGTAGTCATGATCACTTCATAAAATAGGCTATAACGTTACTATGCGTAGATGGAATAATTACTCAGGAACACATCAGGTCACCTTGACAGGTGCTGTGAAGGAAAAGCATTCCCAATTGCACATTAAGCCAAAGACAAACAACAACAAACTATGCAGTGG